AATACCACCTCTCCCACCCTCATTTTCTTCACACCTTTCCCATTCTTTCTTCTCTTTACTCTCTCTCTCTAGAACCTCTCTCTAGCCCCGGAATCCCTCGAAAAGCCTAGGGAACCTCCCTAGCACGAGGTGGAAGCCCCGGAGTGCTTGATGGCTCCGAGAAGAAGAGCTTTTCGGCTCGGAAACGCTGCTCCAAGCAAAGCCTGGTTTTCTATAAAACCCACTGTAAGTGAGCTACGCCTACGCTATTTTTAATATAGTTTTTATTTAATTATATTAACGTTATTAAGAACATATAATAAATACTTGGGCTATTATTATGGGTTATATAAGTATTTTTTTAACGCTTATATAATAGTCATAATAGCTAGACTATTAATTATTCTCGGCGAATAATAGACTAAAATCTATTGGTGATAATACTAGGTTTCGTCGAAGGAAATTATTTTAAAGTAAACGAAGCGCTGTCCGAGTACCGAGTCACCACCTTCTCAGGTGAGTGCATGGTCCCTATCATCTTACACATAGATATGAAGTATTTATTATATAATGTACGTGTTGTGAGTGCATAGTCCCTTTCATCTTACACATAGATATGAAGTATTTTAATATAAATTACGTGCTATGTGTACATATTGTCTGTGCTATGTGTACATATTGTCTGAATACTTGCTGTCTATGCTGAGTGAAAGATTTTTATACATGTTTTAAATGATTTAAACTGTATATGTATTTTATATCTACAAAACGTGTTGGGAAAAACATGGGTAGATGAAATAGTTGTTTTGTGATAACACGATGGGAGACATCAGTGTTGTCAGTGATCCAGTCATCTAGTGGAGTATAGATGACGACTATGGACGATACTAGACGGTCCAGTGGAACGATAGCAGTTTCGTAACATGTAGGTATTTTTGAACTAGGTGCTCATTAGGTATTTTTGAACTGAGTGTGTTCACTACGTATCTTTGAACTGAGTGTGTTCACTAGGTATTTTGAACTAAGTGTGTTCACTAGTTACTTTTGAACTAACTGTTTACCAGATGTTTCGGACTACGTGTTCACCAGATATATTCTATAAGCCTTGGTAATGATGGACTTCGTGTTGATTCCTTAGGATGATCCTTAGGACTAAATAAACGAGGAATAGCTGATTCTTAGGGTAGATCCTTAAGACTAAAGAAGATAATGGGGATGGGTAATTGGGTTGATTGTTTGATTGTTTAAACATAATAATTATATTATTGTGGGTTGAAAACCCTATGTGCTCACCAGGTTTCCCAACCTGACCCACTCAGTTTATTTATATCACAGGTGTTGATACGAAGTCACTTTACATTGAGAGATTTAAAGAGATGTAGATCACTAGTGTAAATAAATGTAAGTTCTGTTTATGCTTATGTTCCTGTATTGACGATGACATCCCAAACGTTTTAAAATGAATAAAGTACGTTTCTTCGGAAATGTTTTAATAACGTATTTATCATGTTTTTCTGGGAACAAATTCCGCAACATTTTTATTAAAAGAACTCTGATTTTTATAAAGCATAAACAAAAATTGGTCTTTTCTGTCCGTGAAAATGGGGATGTCACACTGAACTATCTTCGACGTACAAGTCGACTACCTACGACCCCTCGATCCCTAAATGACAATACTTCAAAATTATTCATTTGAGTATGCAACCCTAACCGAGGTCATACCAATTTAGTCAAAGTCAACATTGGTCAAAGTCAACTACCAGTTGACCTGACTTGCCGAGTTGGTCTACCAACTCATCGAGTCCATACCCCTCAAATCAATGCAAATCCACGTCTTCACTCGTCGAGTCTAGCAAGAAATCGACGCGTTCTTCTTCGATATTACCCTTAGGGCCAACTTCATCTGACTTGACGAGTTCACCTTGAACTCGTTGAGCCCACCTCCCTCTTATGAACACGTCCAGTCTACGACTCACCGAGTTGTATGAACAACTTGTCGAGTCCTTAGGAGATTCTCTTGGACTCGCCGAGCCTGCTCCAAGCATTTGTCGAGTTCCATGACTCCCAGGCCCTCTAATGAGCTTGAACAACTAAGGGACCTTCCTTGCTCTCATTTGGTCCTTCGACAGAAGGATTTGATGGTTATTACGCTCCGACTCGTCGAGTTCCAAGAATGACTCGTCGAGTTCACTCTTGACCATCACCATACAGTCGATCTAAAAGGGTCTTAACACACCACATCCATAGGATCTGGCCTCCTAATGCCCATTTTACATGTAAAGTCCCGAACTTGATGCACATACAAGGGGTTTTTGGCTCAAAAAGCCATAAGAAGTGACCTACAGGAGGCATGAGGCTCTCATGGCCATAAAGTTAGCACCTTTATGCCATGAGACCCCTCCTAAGGCCATATCTGAAGTCAAACCCCATTCAATCCCTTCATAATCTGAAAATGGCTTAGAAAGCCCCCAAAATCCCAACTCCAAAGATGAATAATCACATAGAAGACCAAGACAGGAGATTTTTACCTTGAATAAACTGAAAATGGAACAAATCTCCTAGATCTTTAAGCCCTAACCTACACTCCCAATCTCCTTTCCTCTTCTCAAGCTTCACAACCCACCAAAATACACCAAAATGGCCTTAGAGCACACAAACAAGGCTAGGGTTTCGATATACTGTCTTATAGGAGTGATAGGGACAAAGGAGGCTGGGATAAGTTGTTTAAATATGGTGCAAACCCTCAAATTTAGGGTTTCACCCAAACAATACCTACTCGCCGAGTCAGGCTCCCGACTCGTCGAGTAGGCCACTTAAACTCTTCCACGGTCACGACTCCACTCGACGAGTTGGACCATTAACTTGTCGAGTCCCAGAACAAATACAAGAAACCTTGAATTAATACATACCGGGAATTAGTTGTTACAATTCTAAGGGCTAAATATAACTGAAATAGGAATCCTTAGCATATGTTTTATGAAGGGTATCATGTTTCCTACAATGGGGTCAAAAAGACACACAAAGCAAAACTAAAAGAGATATAAGCTATGAATCACCAAGTTAAGACTTTTTACCTCAGAAAGCTGCCAAAGATGGACGAGATCCCAGATCTAATGCTTCTCTTCAAGCTTGATAGCTTCTAGTTCTTCCAACTCCTTTACCAAGCACAAAAACACACACCAATCCACTTAAACTTCAAGTTTCTCACCAAAGAGCTCACAATGCAATTTAGGGTTTCAGGGAGACTGATGAGAGGCTGAGGGAAAGGATTAAGTCCTTTAAATAGGGTGCAAAACCCTAGAAATTAGGGTCTACTCATTGATTTGAGGCTCTCAACTCGTAGAGTAAACTTCTCCACCCACATCTAATTCCACTGCATACTCGACGAGTTTGGGCCTCTAACTCATCGAGTTTCTATACAAAAGAGAATAAATTTTTAATTAAATACATACCAGGAACTGGGTGTTACACAATATTTCCCAAGTCCATATCTATCTTCACCATCTCAAAAGAAACTATATCATTCACATCCATATACACAGCTAAAAAGTTTAAATAAACAAACACACACACACACAAACATACACACACACACACACTTACAACAACTAGAAAATTTAAACACACACACATACACTGAAAATGAAGGAAACACATTGTTCTTAAAAAATACCTAATCAAAGCATTATAGTTTTGGTATTTTTTAAATACATTTTATATTTCCACATTTTATCTGATTATAGTGATGTTATCCAATGACAAATCTATTGTCACTGATAGTTGAATAGTTTTTTCAATGTACAATATAATTATTAGAATTTTTGGAAGTAGAAGGATATAAATGGCTAAAGTTTCTAAGTAAAATGCCTAATAAGGAAAAAATGATAATTGTTATAACAAAAAACTGAAAAATAGATGCCATATAAACAAATAATTGAAAGTAGTTATTTCTTCCAGTTAGTAGAATAAGCGAGTGTCTTATAATTGGTAAGACTTCAATATCATCTATTAGCAAGCATGCTCCTAAACAAAAAATAGATTGAACAATCCAACCATCAATGATCTTTGAAACTGTCAAGCCACTAAAGTGATCCCATTAGTAAACCACCTTTGAAAGATGCATTAGTAAGAGCATATTTATAAAAAAAAAACATTTTAAGAAGTGTCATCTTAATAGGGTACCCATTTTAAGAAACAATCATGAAAAAAACATTTTAAGAAGTGTCGTATTAAAATTGTATACAATCAGTAACATGTTAGACATAAAGAGCATATTTATAAAAATTCAAAACATGGCTCATTGTTACCTCCAAAGTTCCAATAGCATGGCAGCAACCCTATGACTTTGAAATTTACATCTCAGCTACAAATTAGACACATGTCAAGAGAAAGAGATAAATGATCATTGTTATTTCCTTCTTTAGTCCAATATCTTCACAAACAAATACACATAAATACACATGACTGTACAAAAGGATACATACAAACACTAACACAATACAAATAGATAAGCACACCTGCACATTTTTAAAAAATGCATACACATACCATAGATACTTCAATAACTGTAAGTAATTTTGAAAAACATACATTAGAAAGAGAGAATTCAGAAATCAAGATTTGTATAAGCCAAAAGAATAAGAAAGCAACAGACTGAGGAGGGAAAAGGTATACCTACTAGATCCAACAGTCTCCGCGAAGCAAACTCCATTCAAAATTAATGGCTTTGCTGGGTGATGGTTATTGTTGGTGGCTATAAATGGTGGTGGCAGGGTTGAGTGTTGGTCGTGGCGGCGAATAGGGTTTGTGGAGGGAAGCGACCGACGTGATGTGCGTTTGAGTTTGTGAGTGTTGGTGTAAACGAGGGTGGACAAGGATGGTGGTGGTAAACCGTAATGAGAAATATGAGAGAGTGGCTGAGTTGATAACTGAAAATGGAAGTTTGCATACAAAAATGTTATTAAATTCTAGTAGAAAGACAGAAGTAATGGAGAGTGGTTGACCTAATCTGAATCAAATGGATGAAGCCAGTTTGGTCTTACCTGAAGCAAAGCCGTTTGGGTATCTTTTGGTTCTTTTATGCAAAAGTGGTGCAAATGAAGAGAGATGGTGGAGATGGCTATCCAATGCGTTTCTCCTGGAGGAATGATGATGCTGAAGGTGGTAGTGCGTTTTTGGCTCCTAATTTGGGGCTTATTTCTATTGCATGGTGTGTGATGTTGTCGGAGTCTATTGGCGATGGTGGAGGATAATTAGGGTTAGGGTTACAGTTTCTGATGGTGAGAGGAGATGACGGTGTTTATAATAATGGGGGTGGTCGACGTCGGTAACAGTAGAGGATTTCTAAAGCGATTGGTTGTCCAGTTGAGAGGAATGAACATTTGGTTGATGTCATGAGGGTGAATAAGTTGGTGGTAACATAGGGCTGTCGGAGACTAAAAAGACCAATGAGAGAGACGAATGAGATGTGGTTTGATGGCGACTGGTGTGTCATGTGTGTAGAGGAGATTAAGGTAACTTCCAGAACGAAGATAATACCGTAAAATACATTTAGGTACCGTAAGATAAATCTAGATACTTGTAAGTTATCTCCACCATTATGTTCAAATAATGATACATCTTAAATTTCAAAAAATGTTAAAATATGTTTTATATAATAATAAAAATAAAGATATACAATATTTACGTAAGACCTTACACTACAAACAATATATTAGAATCAAAATTATTTTATGTGTTTCGAATAGTTTATTAGTCGGAAAATAAAATTATTTTAAGATCATGCATTCAAAGTAACAAAACCTAAATTATCCTCGATTCAAGGTCCTCCTTTATACGTTTTAGAATAATAAAAGGGACTAGCTTTTACATATCAAGTTGACTCTGTGGCCCAATGGATAAGGCGCTGGTCTACGGAACCAGAGATTCTGGGTTCGATCCCCAGCAGAGTCGTTCTTTATTTTTTAAAAAAGTTTGAATTTTTTTTTTTTTTTTTATGAACTGAAAATAAAATATCTGAGTTCGAGTGATGGCAAACTTGTAAATTTTAAACATTATTGCACACGTAGCACAGTAGAGGGTTTTTGAGACGATACTCTGTTATAGAAAACGAACGCAGATATTTAGCTCTTCATCACAGGGTTTAACTAGGGTTCTTCCAAAATCCCAATCCCCACGTCCAAACATGACGGTTGCTCAATTAATTCTACGATCTCTTCGCCGTCCCACATCTCTCCGAATCACCACCACCGCCGCCGCCTTCAACCTCCAGTCCCTATCTCTCCAGTCTCCAACAACAAACCCTAACTTCCTAATCCCTGTTAGAACCTTTGCCTTTACTTCAGCAGAGGAAGCCGCCGCCGAACGCCGTCGTCGCAAACGTCGCCTCCGTATTGAGCCCCCACTCCACGCCCTCCAACGCGATCCAAATGCCCCACGCCCTAGACGCGACCCTAACCAACCTGATACTACATCTGCCCTCGTTGGACCTCGACTCAGCCTCCACAACCGCGTCCAATCGTTAATCCGAGCCGGAGACCTCGAAAACGCCTCTGTTGTTGCTCGACAATCGGTTTTCTCCAGCACACGTCCCACTGTTTTCACCTGCAACGCGATCATTGGCTCTATGTATCGCGCCAAGCGGTATTTGGATGCCATAGCTCTTTTTGCCTATTTTTTCAAGCAATCTAACATAGTTCCTAATGTTGTTTCCTACAATTTCTTGATCGTCTCTCACTGTGAAAACGGAGAAGTTGATAAAGCCCTGGAAGTCTACCAACACATTAAGGACAATGCTCCCTTTAGCCCATCTGCAGTTACTTTTCGTCATTTAACCAAGGGTTTAATTGATGCTGGGCGTATTGATGAAGCAGTGAACTTGCTATGGAAAATGGTGAACGATGGCCACGGGGCTGACTCTATTGTCTTCAAACAACATCATATCTGGCTTTCTCAATTTGGATAATCTGGGAAAAGCCAATGAATTTTTTGATGAGCTGAAAAGTAGGTGCATGGTTTATGATGGTATTGTTAATGCTACTTTCATGGAGTGGTTCTTTAGTAAAGGTAAGCCAAAAGAAGCCATGGAGTCTTACAAATCTTTATTAGATAAAGAATTCAAAATGGTTCCTGCTACATGTAATGTTCTTTTAGAAGTTCTGCTTAAATGGGACAAGAAACCAGAGGCTGAGGCTTTGTTTGATAGCATGTTAGATAGGCACACTCCACCTGTTGTCCAAGCAGTGAATTCTGATACCTTTAATATCATGGTAAATGAATGCTTCAAAATGGGGAAAGCATCAGAGGCTTATAGTGTTTTCAAGAAGGCTGGTAATGCCCCCAAGTCAAAATCTTTTTCAATGGATGCAGCGGGTTTTAACAATATAATCATGAGGTACTGTGAGAATGACATGATAGACGATGCAGAAAGAATGTATGTAGAATTATGTGGCAAATCTTTATCACCTGAAGTCAACACTTATAAGACCTTGATTGATGCTTATTTCAAGGCAGGAAGAATTGATGAAGCTATAGATAAATATGCGAAGATGGTGGATGTTGGTTTGAGAGTGATTCCTACTTATGCCAACAAATGGTTCTCTAGTATGATTGAGAATGGAAAGATTGTGGAGTGTGAGCCCATTTTGACTAAAATGGCTGAAAGAGACCCGAAACCAGATGCTAATACTTATGATATGGTGATCAGGGCACTCTGTGTAGCTTCTAATTATGACACGACTTTGATTTTGTTGCAACAAATGGTTAACTATGGTGTTGGGGTTGCCCCTGCTCTTAAGGAATATGTGTTAGAGGTGTTTGATAAGTTAGGGCGTAAAGAAGAAATTGATAGACTTTTAATTGCAAGAGGGACAGTTTATGTGCCAGGTGTACCTCGAAATGTAAATGGCTATGGACAGAGGAATCAGTATGGATATGGGCAGCAAAATGGTAATGGAAATGATATTGTGAATAGACAACAATACACCAATGGAAACACACAGCAATATGGTAATGGAAATGATATTGTGAATAGACAACAGTATAACAATGGAAACACACAGCAATATGGTAATGGAAATGGACAGCAGTACAATGGAAGTTGGAATGGAAATGGGCAGCAGTACAACAATAGAGGCTGGAATGGGAATGGGCAGCAGTACAACAATGGAGGCTGGAATGGGAATGGGAATGGGAATGGAAATGGGCAACAGTACAACAATGGAAGCTGGAATGGGAATGGTGGTGGACAAAACCATGGTAATTGGCAGCAGAATGTGAATGGAGTTGAGCAGCGGAATGTAAATGGGGAGCAGGGATATGAACAAGCTCAATCTGGTTCTGTAGCAGCACTTTAAGGTATTTATATAATTTTTGTTTTTTGATTTGGTTAAGGAAAGAAGGGCTGAAAGATTATATTTCCCAAGAAATGGATGTCTCACATGCTGATCAACACTTTTCAAGTTTTAACAGTCATTTCTGTGAAACAGTTTCTTGGTTTATGTGATGTCTAACTTATACATTGAGGTTATAATGACAAATTATTATGAAAATTTCTTAGTGGTTGATGACACTAAACATGCTATGAAATACCTATTTTTCATGATGTTAATTCATAAACTAGTATTTTATATTTTAGTTTTGTTAATGTTCTTTGAATCTTTTGAATTATGTACATTGTCTTCTTCTGTTTGATTCTTTTCTGTAACAGTTTTACCACTTCCATCATCTTTCTTCTTTGAAGAAGATTTAACATCACCTAAATTACCAGAATTACCCTTTTTAGCAGACAGCTTAAATGGCTTGCTATCTGAATCACTTTCCTCATCTTCCTCAACATTTTTACTTTCTACCTTTACTTTTCTACCCCTTTTTAACCTATCGTTTCAGTGGTTTAGCATCTGAATCACTATCTTCTCCTTTCTTCACAGATTGTTTTATAGTCTCATCTACTTTCTTAGTTCTTACCCTGTTTTTCCTTCTTTTCCATCTGATTCACCCACATCCATTTTCTTTACCAGCCTGGTTGCTCTTCTCCCTTGATTGTTTTGACGATTTTGCCCCTGAACTACCTGTGTCCGCTTTCTTATTGTGCTTCCTCAGAGGTTTATCATCAGAATCACTAGCGGCTCCACCATCTTCTGATTCATCAATGGTGGCTGGAAGTTTGACCTCCTTGGCAACAACCGCCTTTGGATGGGGAATCGGCGTTTTCACGGGCGATTTCGTCTTTTTGAAGAGTTTGGTTTTTAAAGACCGGGTTTCTTGAAGTGACTTTCATTTGGAAGGCTGTCACTTTGAGATGGGGAAGGGGAAGAAACATTGTCAGCCTAACTTTCAGGGGCAGTTTTGTCTTTTTCTGTTTCTGATGGATTATCTGCTTCATTAGAGGACTCTTAACAGGCGAACTATGAACTTAATGTTGTTTCTCTGCTTCTTCTTTCTCACCTTCAACATGAGAAGAATCAGAAGGCTCCCCGGAGTTTACTGCTGTGTCGGATTTAGTCCCTCTCCTTTTGGAAGTCTGTTCTGGTTTTGATTCCAACTTTGCCACATCAGCATCTGACTCATCGTTGAGCATTTCAACTGAAATTTCTTACACGTTCTTCTAAAACCAATACCATGGTCATCAATGTCCTCCTGAAAGAGTGTATTGAATTAATGCTCTCATTGATGGTTTGAGTGCATCTAGCATTGACTTTTTCAGGCACTGGTCAATATGGGCAATGTACTTTGTTCTTCACACATAAATAGCAACATACTTACATTTCTTTATTGATAATAGCAATGTACTTTATTTGTTTTTTTGTACATATAACAACAATATAGTTGCATTTTGCTACAAGTATAGGCATTGTACATTATTTATTATATATTGCAATTATCTGTAAAGAAATTTACTTGTTTTGTTATTAACTTATTATGAATAAAGAATTGTAAGTACATTGCTATTGTATGTAAAGAAAATGCAAATACAGTGCTATAATGAGTTACATATTGTTCTTATTGGCAAAAATGTAAGTATGTTGCTATTATGGGTAAATAAATGTAAGTATGTTGCCTATATTGGTAAAAAGAGTAAAGTATGTTGCTATTTCTTGCAATTTGCTCCATAGTGGTTTGATATTAATAAATGTACATACTTGAAGGCTGTAGCACACATTACACAACATAAAGTACACGTTATATAGGATTACTTGGCCATAACTGTTTAATTAAATATGTGTTTATGAATATTTGTTCTAGGTTAATGTAAAATACAAAATGCATAATAGTATTTGTTTTCTAAAGCTTCATTTTAAATGAATAAGAATTTATTTCAAACGTCAACTTTCTATTTTAAAAAAACCTTTTCTTTTGAAGTTTATGTGCATGAGGAAGCAGATAAAATAAGAAGCAAAAAAATAAAAAGGAAACTGTACATTCTTTTTAGAACGACAAACAAACATGAACACCTATTAATCCTATTTTTATTCATAGTTTTTGTCCACCATGGTACTTGAACCCTCGGCCATGCCACTTAGGAGAGATGCATTTCCATTACATCTGAGTAAACTACGATAAATTAGATTTTTTTGGCAAAAAAACATATAAGTAAACTACGATAAATTAGATTTTTTTTTTCTGTGCAAGGTTTTAATCAAACTAGGAAATCGAACATAATAATAATAATAATAATAATAATAATAATAATAATAATAATAATAATAATAATTTATTTTTTTGCTAAAGTGGTCATTTATTTCTAAATTAATAACGTTAATAACTTATTTCTCTATCCTTCTTACCGTAGTTAATGATGGCCTCTTTATGACATGTCCATAACATCTCAAAAGTCATTCCCTCTCAATTTTTCATTAATACATGTGACTCCCATATGAGTTTGACAAAACTGCAAAAATATCCTTGTGGTATGCATTTTTTTTAGGGTTTTAGTTCAAACCACGATTTTTTTGGATTGATGGTACTTTTGAGCTAGTTTCGTCGGGTTTTTGGTCCTTCTAAATAGTGAAATGACTGTAATACCCTTGGGTATTTATTTTCCATTTTTAAATTCATTTTTTTAATTTAACAATTATTTATTCATTTTAATTATTAATTTAATTATTAAAAAATGAGAGGGCCCACCTCTCTCTCTCTCTCTCTCTCTCTCTCTCTCTCTACAAAGTCCACCCCTCCTCCTGTTCAGATAATCAACCACCACCACCATTTATGTTGCAAGGAAGGTCGGAAACCGCCATCCGCCGTCTTCATCGGCGAGAAAACCACCCACAACCACCGCCACTGTTGATTCCGACCACGACCGAGTTCCCCTTCCTCGTCCACTCGTGTCTCCATCTAATTAAAACAGAAGCGAAGCGACAGAAGGCCATCAAAGCAGCCCCCTGCCGCACGCCACCGCAAATCGCTGCCATTCACTGCTGCTGCCGCCGACATCCTCCAGCCACCGCCGTCTGCTGCTGCTGCCGTTGCTAGTAAGCCATCCATCCCCTCATTCCGTGTAGATTGGTCGTTTCCCGTTAATCTGTTTCACCAGTCGAATCGAGAGATGAAGGTCTTAATTTTTTTTTTCTTATGTTTTGAAGACGAGTTTGTAAATCACGAGTTGGAGAATGGTAGTGCAGGTAAGGAAGCAACAGAGAGAATGTTCAAGAATGGTGGTGCTGGTAAGGAAGAAGAAGAAGAACGGGTGGGGAAGTGGGTTTTTTTCACACACACACACACACACACACACAGAGAGAGAGAGAGTAAGTGGGTCCCATTCTTGATTTCATTTAACATTTATGTTTAAATAAAATAAAATAATAATTAAGTAAATGGAAAAAACAAATTAAAAGGGCAAAGTCGTCTTTTCAAGTTTATCGGGGGCCAGTTTTACAATGAAACTAGCCCAAAAGGACCACGAATCCAACAAACCCATGGTTTGGACCAAAACCCCCAAAAAATGCATACCATAGGGACCATTTTTGCAATTTTGTCTATGAGTTTCTTATAACTCCATTCAGTACCCTATTCAACAAAGTTTACCACAAGTCGAACTCAACATCCTCATTTTAGCTACCCCATCTTCCCCTCGTCCATCTTCCTCTCATCACGAACACTATCTAGTAATTAGCATGTTGGGCTGATATTCTCAACCGTTTAATTAAATGGGTCAACCCATCTAATCCGTTTAATTAGATTGGTTGGGTTAAGGTTGAAATCCCCAACCTGTTTACAACCTATCAATGTTTAAAATTTTTAAATATTTTTTAGTTTATATTTATTTAGTATTATTATTTAAATGAATATTATATTTTGATTATTTTTTTATTTCTCAAAAATTGTAGGTTAGTAATCATTATTGGAAGTCGAGTTGGGTAAATTCAGAAATTAAACATTTATAATGTTTTATGATTGTAAGGACTTGATTTGTATTTTTGTTAAGGACTTATAGACTTATGGTTATATTATTTTCAAACTTCAACAACTATTGGAGTTTTAAACTTTTTTTTTTTAATTTATATTTTTAATTTTTTTTATATTTTATTATTATTATTTTTTGTTAATTTAAATAGGTCAATCCAAGTCCAAAATGTTTATTAAATATGTTAGGTTGGAAAAGTAATACATATGTCAACTCGATTTCAACCACTTTATTGAAAATGTTGGGTTGGGTTGGGTTGAGAATTGTCAACCTATTTACTTAAACATGTAGGTTGGATTGGGTTGGGTTAGATTTTTAACTCATTTAATTACACTATTCAACTAGTTTATGACCCAACACACCCCTTGCCACCCCTACTCCTAAGGTTGCCCTCTACTTCTACCGATCAATCTTTATGCCATGTGAAACGTCTACCTTCACACCTCATCCTGTATGGATCATAGAACCTAGATACTTGAAGCTTTCTTTTGAAGAAAGAGACAGCTCCCCTAAACGTACGTCTCTCATTCTCCATCCGCTTCCCTATTAAAATTGAACCAAAGATACTCAGTTTTAAGTGTGTTGATTCATAGCCTTTCTCCTCTAATTTCGCCCTCCAGGTGTCCAATGCGGCATTCAACTCACCCTTCGACTCGGCCACCAAGACAATGTCATCGGCAAAAAACATACACCAAGGCATCTCCCTGTGGATCCCACTAGACATCTCATCCAACATTAATGTGAAAATGTAGGGGCTGAGAGCTAAACCAGGTATGTGTCTCTGACAGGAGTCTAGGCACATGTGCTACGTCGGCAATACACATCGTGAATAGCCATGCCATATCTCCTACGAATCCTTCTAGTTTCCAAAGTCCTCTAATCTGCCTCTTGTGGGACACTGTTATACACCTTCTCAAGGTCGATAAACACCATATGGAGATTCTTATTTCT